GCTGGCCAAGCTGAGCCGTGGGTGAGGCCATATGCGAGCGGGGCCATGGAATACGTTTTCTCTGAGCCACTGAACGTGAGCTATATTCATTTAAGATCCACGTTCAGCGCAGCGCACGCTTGCGCAGGGTGAGGGGCAGGGTGCGGGGAGGCGGCAGCGGCTCCTCACCCTTCTCCCCACCTCCCCGCTCGCCCTCGCACGCTTGCGCAAGCGTGGCGCTTGGCTGAGCGTGGATCTTAATTGAATATAGCTGTGGGCCACCCGGGGTCCAACTCCACCGGCGGCTGGGGAACATCTACTGGGCTAGGCGCGGAGCCAACTGAGCTCCCTGATGTTAGCTTACATGCACTGGGACTAGACTAGCATTACTATCGCCGCACCTATGGTGCCAAGAAACGTATCTTAACATTGTTATTGCCCTACTTTTAGGGACTTACCTTGGCATCTGGGGAGGAACAGGGGGTTGGGGGTTGGGGAGGGGAATCCACGCGTTCGTCTCGCGTTCAGCAGCCTCTAAAGGTTGTGACACTGTGAGGCTCTGCACTGCACTGCACGCACACCCGACAGCGCAGTCCGCGCAGCCACACGGACCCCTGAGTTCGAGGGGTTGCCGACTCCGCAGGCGCCTTTGACCTCTCTCCGCTGCAAGGTATAGCGAGTGAGAAGAGCCACCCTACCCTCGTCTCCGTTCCTGCTCCCCATCCACATGGAACTCCGATCCAGGAAGGCCGCGGCTAACACCATCCAGACTTGGAGCATCGAATGTAATTCGAATGTAATAATACGCTTTTCAGTGCTCTCAATGTAGGTGATATGTGTACTCGATACGTGAACCCAGATTGGTAGCGAGTGATTTGTAAACCAATTAACTTGAACGTGGTGTATTCTTTAAAGGTGAAATAAGGTACAATATATAAGGTTTATGCAAGTTTGCTAACAACAGTGAGAAATTGAATAATATTTAGCACAAACTAAGAAGCCATTCCGAGAAATGTAATTTAATGGACGGGCCCCCGACCAGCAGTCCACCCCCCGGGAAGGAGAAGCAAGTAGACGCGGGGCTTTTTTGATGCTCCCCAATCGAAGTTTTATTTTCTGCAACCCTCCTTTCGGACCCCCAAAAGGTTAAAGTGCTTCTGAACCGCTAGAAACTGTTTCATCACATAAACCAAATTATTTCATTTCCTATCTCCATCTTGGACGCTGGCTTCTGCTCCTGCTGCCGCGCATCGCATATCCTTGCCGTCGGGAGTAGGGCGTCGCACGTCCTTGCTCAGGGCCGGCTGGCGTGCCGCCTTCAACGGTAGGTGTGGCCTCGCTTTCCAGGGCGTTGACCTCTGGCGTTGTCTGGGACTCGCTGGAAACCCCTTGATCGGCAGGAGGGTGGGCCGCTCCCAGCGGTCGCAACCTCCCCCGGGGGAATCGTGGCTCGCCTATGAAGGCTGTCTCGAGGCGATGTGCCACACCTGGGCCACCTGCTGAGCTGACGCTCCCGCTGGTGTCGCTCGGCTCCGTCATGGCAATCCGCGGGGTCAGCGTGCGCCGCACCGAACTTTTTAGGAGACAAGAAAATTCCTGGATAAAATCCGGACCATGGGCCTTAAAAGGGCACTACGCCTAAAATTTATTTCCTCAAAAGCGCAGTTGCCGCGTTAGCAAAACGAAGCTATTTTTTAAATCGCCAAACAGTTTTTTTTGTCATCGACTCAAATATAGCATTATACTTACGAGGCTCGAGGCTCCTCCTTCAGGTAAAATATTATTGCCAGAAAAATGGTACGTAGCTCCTCCATTTTGTCAACTTGTTCCTGGGGGTGTTAGAAAAAACGAAAGATAGTAGATACGGTTTCCTTGTATTTAAATTACTGTATAAACACTTTTGCATTATGTTGTGCGTAGACCCGATTAATGCCCACCCGAGGCCCGGTCCGAAGGCGTAAAATATAGCGCGAAAGCGTAAATATATACCCCCACTCCCACTCGGATGTGCTCCCGACAGTAGCCGGTCTAATTGCTAGGCCCTTTCATCCACCACCCCTCAAGAGTGAACACAGGTAGAAAAACGATCTAGACAGAACCAAACCTCAAGAAAACTCGCGCAGACACTGCGATCATGAGAAGGCGTAGTC